TTATCAACAACATTATAATTGAACATCGATTTTTTTTTTTAGACTTTTTTTTACAATAAATTAATGGTATGTCCTGCTATGATTGATCAAATAATCAAGAAGAAAAGAAAAAAAATTTTGGGAGAAAGGGCTGAATATAATGGTAACAAACTAGCTTGACCCTTTTTTTTTTTTTGTCCTTTACAATTACAAAAGCTACATGGTATAATTATGAAATTGAGAAGATGTTTTTTATTTAGATTCTATGGGGTTGGATAAAATTATTAGTGTCTTTAGCTCATCATTTTCATGTTGACAGTGACATAATCAAAAATATTATTCAACGAGGTTAAAAAGTATATCAATATAATTAAAAATATATATGAAGAAGTGGTAATTAATGTGAAGATGGTTAGAGGAATGATAGAGAGCTTCTTTATTACCTCAAGATTATATTAAGGTTCAGTAGTAAGTCCTTTTTTTTGGTATTAGTTATGGGCGAACTTAATAGACGTATCTAAGATAAGATGTTATAGTATACGTTATTTGTCAATGATATAATTTTAGTTGTTGAAATTTGAGTTTGCTCTTAACACGAAATTAGAAGTAAATAAGAGTATATTAGAGTCTTAAGATTTTAAATTGAGTAGATCTAAAATTGAATATATGAAATATAAGTTTAGTAGTCACAAGAAAAATAGGTATTATTGTGATTAAGTTGGATGACGAAAGAGCACCAAAAAGTAATTAGTTTTGATATTTGGGATCAATTATTTAGAATGATACTGAAATAGAAGCAGATGTCAAATATAAGATTCAAATAAGATGTATGAGGTGGTGAAGTGTTTTGGGTGTTTTGTATGATTGTAACATGCCTTTAAAGTTAAAAGAAAAGTTGTATAAAACAACTATTAGGCCTATGTTACTATATAGAATTGAGTGTTGGACGGTTAAGAAACAACATGAGAAAAAAATTAACATAGTGAAAACGAGGATGCTTCAATGAATATGTGATAAGACTAAAAGATACAAAATCATAAATGAAGAGATTTGAAAAAAAATAAGAGTAATCCGAATTGAAGAGAAAATGAGAAAGGACCATTTGCTATAGTTTAGACATATGAAACGTAATCCTAGTTGTGCACTGATTAGAAGAATTGAGTCTCTAGATCTATGAGAAATTAAACCATCTAGAGATAGACTACGAAAGATATGAATGTAAGTAATAAAAAATGATATGATGATTAAAAAATTAGATGAAAAAGTGATTGTTTATAGAAATGAGTGGCATAAGAACATTCAAACTACAACTTAACGTGATTTTTTTTTTCATACAATTGACCCCAGAATATGTGATATAAGGCTTGGTGTGTTGTTATTGTTGTTAAAAAGTAATTATAATTTTTTGTTATTATTTATTTTTTTTAAATTATTTTTTCCAACAAATGGTATTCTTTTCTTTTTTAATAATTTAATAATTTTTATTTTTAATCCATGAAAATAAAAAGACAAATAAAAAGGACTAAAATATTATTGTTTAAATATAAAAATATATGAATATAAAATTTTCATACAAAATATTTAAATAATAACAATGCCATTACATAAATTAAGTACAAATGACTAAAAGAAAAATATTATTATCTTGTATGACAATTGAGTTTTAAGTTTTACAAGTGAGATTAGAGAGTTAAAATGTATCTATTAAAATATATTTAAAAAATACTAAATTATTTAATTATTAAATAAACATATAGCAATAATCTAATTTTTTTATAGAGTTTAAAAATTGACCATCGATATAAAGAATAATAATCCAAAAGAAAATCTTAATTAATATATTCTTGTTACAATTGTTTTTTATGTTGAAAATCATCTTTAATATATCAAATGCATTTCTCAATATGTATAATCAAACAATTATTCACCAAGCTATCTTTTATTGGTTTAAATAACAAAGTTTTAAAAATTTCCATTACTAAAAAGTTTTTCGTATATTGTCAAGGAGACCTTGGTTTAGTGGCAATAAAAATTTTGGAACATTGGGTTCTTAAAGTCAGTCTAGTCCAACTTTATGTTGGATTTATTTAATTATATATTGGTTAATTGTTTGATTAGTTTGTTTATTTCATGTAATTTATTGATTTTTATGTGTAATATTTGAATATTGTAGATATCTATCTGTGTCCGATGTTTATTGAACCAATTTTTATTGTTGTTATTATTATTATTTTGTTATTATTATTATTATTTTAGATTTATATGTTATATCATATTATTATTATTATTATTATTATTATACTATATTATTTATTATTATTATTATTATTATTTCTATTTTATTTTATTTTATTTATTTCTTTTCGATTTTCTTTCCTAACCGGTGAAACTGAAACCTAGAATTCATTGCAGTAAAAAGAAGGATTTTTGGGATCAATTCAAAAAAATCAATAAGAAACCTAGACCTAATTTGGGGTTCAGGTAGAATCTAATCCCAATATTCAAGTTTGGAATTGATTTTGTCCGTTTCCTAAAATTTATTCTAAGATTGCCTATAAATTGAACTAACATCACAGAGAACAAACAAAAGGGATTTTATAGAGGGACACGATTGATTTGGAGGGGGTTGAACTTGGTGTTATGGAAAATTATCTAGGTACTAGGTTTCTGGGATCTTGATTTTGGGAGTTCTGAGTTTGATTTGACGTCTATAGGTTTGAATCTATGCTTTTTGGGAATAAGTTTGAATTTCTAGAGGGTTTCTGAAGTGATTTGGGAAAATCTGAGATTTTTTTTGAAAATTTTTGGGAAATTGAGTTTTTTTGGGATGAATATGAAATTTTCGATAAATTTTTTGATGAATTTTTCAGCAGAGAATGAATTTTTTAACGAGATTTCTAAAAACTGACAAGAATTTCTAGTTTTCAATGGCGTCTCGATTAGGTTTTAGAGAAAAGGGTGAGCATTTAAGGGTCTAGAGAGAGATAGAACAGATAGCTTTTGAACTTGACTTTTATAAAGTGTCTAAATGATATTGTTTTGACAGCTCAAGATCCACACGTTGATTGGTTGACCCATTTGCCGACCCATGCTCTAACTTGACCTGAATCACAGGTTTTTATTTTATTTTATTTTATTTTTTGATTTTATTTATTTTATATTTTTAGTTTAGTTTATTTTTAATTTCTTTAATTTCTTTTTTTTTATTTTTTATTTGTTTATTTTCACTGAATATTTTATAAAATTTTATTGTTATTTTTTAAAAAAGAATAAAAACAAAAAAATCTTTTCAAATTAGTTTGAAAAACAAAGAAACAAAAAGGCAAAAAAACGAGAAAAATTTTTTCAAATAAGTGTATAAAATCCAACAAACTATTAGAAAATTTCATGACTCATTTTTTTTCAAAAAAATAATAATGAAAGAAAAATGAAAAATAATTTTATCCTTTAAACGACTGAATGATTGCTTTTTAAATTAAATTTTATCAAACTATTATGAGATTTAATGAATTTTTCAAAAAAAATAATAAATAAAACTTTTATAAATAATTTTATGATAAAATCTCACAAAACTAATGAGAGATCTACTTCAAAGTAAATTCTACCAAATTATCGAAAGATTTTACTAATTTTTTTCGAATAAAAACCTTTAATAAATTCGAAACGAAAACTCTTTATGGTGGGACACTAGTTCCCGTAGATGCCCTTTAGATGAAAAAATTATTTTAAATTGCTACCAAACTATTGAAATAATTTTAAGATTAATTTTCAATATTTAATATTTTGGTAAAAGCATAAATATTTTAAGGTTTTGATAATTAGAAATCAAACTAGTGCTATTCTTGAGATGAGCGTTGTGAGACTGTTATAATTTTCATCACATGTAATCATACTCCCAAACCTAAACTCTAATTTTATAGATTAGAATCTGCTATTTAAAGATACTTAAGATAATCTTAAAACTCTTTTCTAAATAGGATAGATTCTATCAGGTGATTAATCACACATAAACAAAAAAGATTTGTTACGATTTCCTTTAATTCATGTCTAATAGTAGATCTATAGATCTATACATTATGACAAATATAGTTATAATTTTTCTTATATTAATAATTTAATAAAAAATAATTTTTTATAATTCAATTACAATTGATAAAATCAAAACTAGTACATAAATAACACTAATATTTTTTAGTCGTAACTACGCTTTATGTGATATCTATTTTTCACCAGCTATATATTGACCTCAAATTATTTTATTATATTATAAATTAATTCTTAAATTTTCAGTTCAGTAGGACCAATTTATTTCAAATTTTAGTTTTAATGAAATTAATTTAAAATTTATCTTATATTAATTTATATCTTAAAGAAAATTTTAAATTTCAGTGGAGTCAAAGTGACCCACTTTTTTAACGTGGTTACACCACCGCTTGTTGAACACTTCTTTCTTGACAAAAATATCGAATAAAATTTGTACATTGCTAATTTTTTTATAATAATAAATTTATTAAATATTCTTTTTTAAAAAATAATTATATAAATTAATTGAATTAAATTTATTACGATTTTTTTTCATCGGTAAAGAAGCATATTAAAAAAGGGTCAATTATTATTTTTATTAAATAATGTGTCAATCTGAGTTGATTTCTATCACATTGTTATAGACCAAATTCGTTAGAAATTTACAAAATAAATTACTAATAAATATATTTATATAAATATATTTTATACATTAATCATAAAATTTTAAAAATTTACATTTAATATTTTTTTATATTTAAAATTATAATTACTCAAATTAAAAATTTAATAATTTTCTACTGTCAGTAATTTTACAAAGGATATTAGACTATAGAAATATGTCCTTTTAATAATTATAATTAGTTAATTTTCATAAATATTTTTAACGAGATAATCTTTTATTCTCATTTGTGGATCAATTATTGGTCAAAAAATATTGAAGCCCAAGAAGCCCAATACAATAATTTAGATATTGGGTGGCGCAAATTATAAAATTAAAAAAAAAAACCCGCCAAAACCTCCTCCAATGCTATTGCTATTAGATCTAAAGTAACTTGTTTTCCCCTTCACTTTCTCGCCAATTTTCTTCTGCCAAACACCCAAAGCAGGTACTTACGCTTTATTTTATCTAAAACCCATTTTCACTGGTTTTCCAACCTTTTCAATATCTCCTTTCTTCTTCGCTGTTTACACGGTTCTTAGGGCATAATCACTTGTGTTGTTATGTTTTTTTTTTTTTTTTTTGAATTATATAATGTGTTCGATGAAATTTCTGAAACAATGTTGGGTTTTGAACGTAAATTAGAGCTGACGGGGTGGTGAAAGTTTCTATATTTAAGAAGATGCACGGGAGAAAGGCATACGAGCTGGTGAAGGAGTTTGCCGGTGGTGAAAAAGGGCATCTCAAGATTTTCAACGTAAGGCTGTTTTCTTGCTCGCTTTTATATAAATTATTTTTGTTGCAAATATAAAATTGTTTCATAAGTGAATGAACCTAATTGTTACAATATAATCGAAAAATTGCTTGGTGGGTATGCTTCTTCTCTTTGAATTTGGGTGTGTATGTATAGTATTTGCTTAAGATATAATATATCTGAACATCGACCACATTACATCTGTAAGATCCATGAGGATTTTGCACGCTTTGGATCTTTAAGGCTATTAGCAACTTAGTATAGATGTGTTCTATATGTTTTTGGAATAAATTCCAGTTTTTTCGCATGCCAACAATGTGCTACCAGCATAAAAGCCTCAAATTTTGAGCACATTTCCATTTTGCTACGTGAAATGTTGAGAGAATACTTGTTTTGATCAATTATCATGAAGGTTTTTAAAATGTTTTCATTTCCATTTTTTTTTTCTTATTTGCCTGACCCTCTTTCCCCAACCCCCATTTTTGTTAGTAAGTTTTTTTGAGGCTACCTCATTATACATGCTACTATTAAGCCTTTATTTAGAGTTTTTTTTTTTTTTTTTTAATTATTTCATGAATATATGCTGTAAAATTGTTGTATGTGATGTGATCTTGCAGAATGAGCTGTTTGAACGAGTAATTGAAGAATGCAATGAACATCATAATGCACTTCAGTCATTGATAAGGTAAGTCATTGCTGCTATTTTGCTTCTTTAGCCTTTTTATTTGTCCTTCCTTGTCCCCCTCTTCTCGTAACTACATGTGCTGAAATTAGGTTATGCAGCTCTTACATTTCTTTAGTCAATGGATCAGCATCTGACTTTCACCTCTATGCTCCAAGTTTGTCCTACCATCTCCTATAGTATTAATTCTGTATGTTTTGAGAATTTCTTAAAATCATAGATGTTGAATTTCAAATGTTAACAATTGATGGTAATGTTTAGAACTTTACAATAGCAATAGCGTTAACCAGTGGACCATGATGTTTAACTCAATTCTCAATTCCATGGATTCTAATTGCAGTAGACTGTGTTTGAACTTGCACTGGAGCTTGAGCTTGAAAAATTGACTGTAATGGAGTATTCTGTCCAAACATTTTGGCTACAGAATGTACAATGTACTCTTGGGGATGCCTCATTTTTTTTTTTTGGTGGCTTGGGGCCTGGGGGCTGGTTTTAGACTTTAGGGCTAAATTTTAGTTGCACATATATCACTTTGCCATTAACATCATTTATGTTACAATAGGAAAATGCAAGAGGAGGGACTGGAAGTCCAAACAGCTAGAAATGCAGACCACTATGGAGCACTCATCCACCACCTTTCTTTAATTCGCAACAAGCGTTGCCTAATGGCATATGTGTAAGTATCTCACTTTTTGTTGTCATTTCCTAAAGAAACTACTTCTTTCTAGTTTGCAAGTTGAGAGGCGGTTTATTATCATCGCCTGCTAATTTTTATACAGGTACAACCGAGCAGAAATTATACGAGATTTGGCATGGAAGGTAGGGTTGCTTCATGAGCTTCCACGTGAAATTCAGGAGAAATTCAGTGACTCAGAGGAACATTATTTCAAAGATCATTCTAAATCTTTGAAAATATACATGTCACAACTGAGCCTTGACGTGAATGTGGTAATGTCTGTCTTGGCATATGAATTAAACATTTTATTAGTGAGAGCCTGTGACTCTAGGATGATCTCGGTGCAACCTTCTATGATTAAAATTTAAAATGGAGGCCTTTAAATTATGTCGGTTATTACAGAGTTTAAAAGATACTGTTTCAATTATGAAAATGGGCAAATAAATCTATACTGTACTTAAGCAAGTAACTGTAATATAGGTAAACCAGAAATGGTGGTCTTCCAATATATAGATTTTATTTTCTTTCTCACAAAGCATTAAAAAGCATCTGTTACTGTCAACTAGATTGCAATGGCTAAAGTTCTTGGTTTCTTAGGATATGGTGCCTCCAAAGGATCCCTACATCAAGGTAAGAGTCCTTGAAGATTTGGGTAGCGGAATAATTCTTAGTGATAAATCTGCCAATTTTGCTCAACACTCAATGCACTTTCTCAAACGAACTGATGCTGAGCAATACATTGCACGGGTGGGTAGCCTTTTCCAGTTAGCTCTACTTGTATATATCATGAGAAGGGATTGCTAAATCCTTGCTATCTTCTCATTATTTTCCTTGTATCAATAGGGCTTAATGGAGGAGCTGACAAGCTGAACCTGAAAGGGTTCTTTCTATGATGCCTTCGCCCTCTTCTCTAGGACAAAGGCGTTTCTAATGTGTATTCAGAAGCCATTAACGTAGCCTAATACCAGACCTGTTTGTTCATTCACTGTAAGTGCTTCTTAGATCTTGGCAAGACAGATGTAACTTGAACAAAAAAATTCAGAAACTGCATTTTGAAGTTTCAAATCTGTATTGTTGAAAAGAAAAGAAAAAGGTTCCAACATCTCCATGCATGAAAATTTGAGAAAGCACTACATTCATTCTTTGAGCGGTAAATCTTGATGATATGTTGCAGCAAAACAACCAGGCATAGTTTGCTTTCTATTTCTACCACTGCCACTACTACTTGCACCTCTTGACCCTCCAGAGAGGAAAGCATCTAAAGCTGCTAAAATCTGAGCTTCAGATTTGTGGCCCTTCAAGGAGGACCTCACCTTTCTAACCACCTGTTGCTTCATCCGCTTCCGCTCTGCCAATGAAAGATGCTCACAATTATCCGTTCCCTTCAGAAATCCAACCACATTTTCACCGGATCCTACACCACATTTTTCTTAGTGGGTTTCTCCACAACCTGCAAAGATAGCATTCGATCTAAGCAGGCCTTATTTTCCAGCTAAACAATATCCAATATAAAATGCACATTTCTCGAGTATTCACGGATTTGCTCTCAAGTGCGTGAGCAATCTTATCTATATTCACGACAAGAACACCATTGCCAAAAAGCATTTGATGCAGAGACGTATAGGCCGCATCCTGCAACTCTGCAACGGGGCATTGCATCATCTTTACCAGCTCAGGAATAACATCATACTCCGGAAACTTGTTAATGTATTCATGAGTAAAAAGGCTGATTCAGATCTCATAGAATTTTGTTGTGTGTGTGCAAAGTGCAGAAGTTCTGACAACCTTCTAATAAGGGGAGTTTGTACAATCATTTCTCTGAAACTTGGGTCTCCAGCTTTTTCACTAATTGGTATGAGATCCTGCATAGCCTCCAAAACCTGTTTGTTGTCATTGTCTAGCACCTTGTCAATGAGGTCTTCAAAAGTTTGTGGCTTCGGTAAAAGGGGAATGTTCCTGTCTGGCATAAAAAATCTTTCTGGACGAAGTCTCACTTGCCATGTCAAGAGGTCTAAGATCAACAGGTCGAAGAGAACTATCTGAAGATGGCCTGTGTCGGCTCATAAATTCCCTTCAAAGTGACGATGGCATGGTGTTGCATTAGTTCAGATCCACCCTCAATAAGTTTGATAAGATTCTTCTCAATCTCAAAAGCAAACATTCTCTCAACAACTTTTGACTTTCCAGCTTTGGTCAATGACATCAATATTTTAAACATGCTCTCATGGCATTCCTGGACATTGGGAGAGAGCAAATCAGCGAGCTGGTTAAAGGGGATACTCTGAAGCACCTTATCAACAATCTCTGGGCTTCCAAATTCTGCGAGCTTGGCAACGATGGTTAAAATGTTTGTTTGGATTACAGGATCCTCAAAAATTTCTAATATACTTGCCAACTTGTCAACCGTACTGGCAGTTTCAATGGATGTAAAATAGTTGCAGTAATCAGTCTTACTAAATATATTTATGATGGCTTCTGCAGATACTGCAATCAGACTCTGAATAGCTGAGATAATATCCGCAATCCTTGGTCCCAATATCCTACTAAAGCTTGTACTGCTTGCTTCAAGTTCAGAAATGGAGTTGTTTGCCATTAAAGCGTAAATAATGGATTCTAAGGTGATAACTACTTGCTTTTCTTCTAAAATGTCGAAGGGAAGCTTCATCCTCCGTTCAACAATCTTTTTGACATTCTCTTTCCCAAAAATGAGGAGCCAAAGGCAAATAAATGTGGTTTTTTGTCAGGTGTAGATCCTTGTAGTAGCATCTCAGTTGATTGGATAGTCTTGCTATCAAGGTACAATGAAACCATGTCATGTAATTGGTACAAAGGATCCATGTCAATTTTCATCAATAAAGACCCTTCGACAAGCTTGAAGACAATGAGAGAAAACAAGCTCTCCTGGCCAAGAAATGACCATACAGCCTCTACACATGCTTCTGGCACGGGTCCCGCCTACGAAAGAGCAATGAAGAGCCTCTTTGAGTCTACAGGCATTGCTTCTAGACTGAACTCAAGTGAAACGAAATGGTTAATGTGTCCTCAGAATCTTTCTCATTCACATATGAGACAGGACCTGGTGCACATGTAGCAGACGTTGATAGGTTGGTTATAGCCTTCTCCCATTTCTCAGCTCTTCTTTCCTGATGGCCATTCCCATAACAGAAACTGTTAGAGGGTGGTGGCCACATCTTTCAAGTAAGCTCTCAGCTATGCCCTATTAGGATAGGATAACATCAGAGCAGAAAATAAAGTTTTCATTGAGTAAAGCTATTAAAAAATCAAGAGTGAATATTGATCATTGACTATTATGTGATAGGCTTCATTGTATACATCATTAAAATATTGACAAAAGTTATCCATTCGCATCAAACAAACTCCACTACTCGTTACTTGCAAGTTGCAAATTGCAAACAGCAAGAAATTATATTACCATATGCACCTTTTGTGAAGATAGAGAAAAAAAAATGATATTGGTCCCACTTATTTACTCAGAATGCAAGAGGGAGCAAGATTTGGCTGAAGAAAGACACCTTTGATTGGCAAATTTTGCACTTGTTTGCCTCTAATGAAATAACACCCTTCTACCCAAAACCATTCCCATTTACCCTTTTCTTCATTTTCTCTCCAAACTACCATTCCTGACCTAAGATCCCTATACAAGCAAATGGCCCCCTCACTGCCCACACATTTAGTACTACCCCAACTCCTCTTCCCACCTAAAAATTTATCCCCAATTCAATAGGCACCTTTTCAATTAAGCCCCAACCTTCTCCCTCATTCAGCTCCCATATGCAAGCCCCACCTCCACTCGTGCCACCAACAATTGTCAACTTCCCATCGTGCCACAATAGTGCAGCGAATTCCAGCCTGTCTGCCATGGGAACACTCAGCTCTCGCCATGCGTTGGAACCAATGTCGAAACCCATTACACTATAAGCCCTGGCTGAAGTCATCCAATAGAGAACCCCATTTGAGTATACACTCTCGTTTGGTGTCCAAACCGTTAGTCTCACTGCAAATTCCATAGGCATGAACCCCATGATATGCCATGTGTCGTCCACTGAGTCATACATTTCCAACTTGGGTTCATACGTGGCACCGCCACGTGGTGCTTCGGACATCCCACCTGCCACGTAGACTCTAAAATGTGGATTTGGACCATGTTGGCCTGACTCTAATGTAACAACACCAACTGCTGGGTTAGTCCTAGTGATATTTAACATTGGAAGGTACCTAAATCGCCTGGTAAACGGATTGCATAGAGCTAACTGAAGAATTGTACTATTTGTTGGCCTTACAAGGATGAGGGTACCAATTGATGCAACTGGTCGAATCGGGTCAGGCAAGAAATCAAGAGACAGCATGTGCCAATTGCCGATAACCGGATTTTGGACATAGCAGCGTTGCCCACGGTTGCGAATTGGCAGAGCCAAGAACCAAGCTTGGTGGTTTTGAGGTAGTGTCAAAGGGTATGTCTCAGCACAGGTGTGCCAATGCCGGCAGGCCGACCTGGCGCGTGCCAAGGAGTCCGGAGAGAGGAAAGAGAAGATTTTAGCCAGAAGATCAAAGGGCAGGTTGCTCCACATTTCTACCAAAACAAAAATGATGAAGATTTTTCCGGTTGCAAAGGCATAGTAGATTTTATATAGTTGGTGTCCAGGCAATTATTGGAGGGTGAATTATTGGACCACCACATGGTATTGAGATGTGTGACCCACGTGAACTATATTATCTGACCCACGTATGCTCTGTTGATTTTAATTTGTTTCCTTGTTCCTTTTTTGTTTATAAAAACAAGGAACGATGGTCCTCGGAAGAGCCCAAAGGGCAAGAAAAAGATAATAAAATGGGAAAAAAATTCTCTCCACCCGTTTGCATAAACTAATCTCTGTCAACTTATGCTTTTTTAGCAAGTTCAGAAAAAAAAAAAAGAAGAAATTGTCCTTGTTTAGTGATTAATCTTACTTCTTGGAACTAGGTTGATTTTAAATTTAATAATTGATATATTTATATATATCTTTAATATTTAATATTTACTTTTTGAAACTAGGTTGATCTTAAATTTAATAATTCATATATTTATATATATTTATTTAATATTTAATATATATAAAATATGAAAATAAAAATATCATAATTCTTATCAATATGTCAAATATAAAATATATTTTTTTAATTTTTATCAAATTTATATATAATTTTTATTAAAATTTTAAATTATATAATTTCATATATTTTTTATATTATATCATCAAATTATATTTAAAATTCTTTGATCCATGTGCCCCAAATCTCTATTATTTAAGATGCTCATCATAGTTTGCCAAAGAATTTATAAATATAAAAATTTGGCTTAGTTAAAGTAATGATGCTTGTTTACCAGGTCATGATCATTAGCTGAAATTGGAAAAATATGTTTTGTGTAAGTAAAGGTAACTCTAAAGTTCCTCCATTGAAGATATAAGATGAAACAAAGACGCCACAATGACATTTATGGCTAGAAATGATGTTGGTTTCCCGTTTACCATAAACACAAGGACCCTTCTCCTAAATTATATAATTAATCTTTTTCTCTTTTAATATATGAATACAATTAGATAAATTAAGCATTTTGAAATCATGGCTTACTTAATTAAATGATTCTACAAGTATTCTTATATTTAAATTATAAGAAACTTTTAGGGTTAAAACATGAATAGTACATTGGATCTCATAGTTAAAGGATTTATATTACAAATCACATTTTCTTGTATTAGTACATTCTGGTAGTCAATGTAATTAGTACATTCTTTATTTCTTCCTGTGTCTTTCAAGATCTGAAATTCTTTATATGAGATCTATAAACAAATAAACCAAACTTTGTCACATGCTAACAGTGTGTAGTTGCTCGATTTGATATATCAAGTTAGAGAGAAGGGTAAAAAAAATATATCACAATTTGTCCTGTTTCCCGTCGGAGGGTTATGTGTGGTCCACTAGTCTTAAGAATGATTAAGAGAGAAGGAAAACAAACAGGAAAAATATGAAATTTGCATTGACGCTTTGAAGACGTTAAGATATCAACAATTTGCAAGGGTATTGTCAAGAAAAACGGTTTGATTGTACAGATGACGTAAAGATTGCTGAAAATGTATAATATATTATTCATCTTAAATTTAATTTAATTAATTTATATAATCACTTTTATAAAATAATTTCAGATGCCTGTCCTCACAATTTTTCTTTAAAAACAGTGTTCACGCAAACTATTCCATTAGTCGTTATTCTTTTTCATTCTTGTAGATCTGGGAGGAAAAAAAATGTGATAGAGAGAAAGAAAGCGACGTTTTTTTTTTTCCTTCTTCCTCTTTTTTCGCTTCTCCATGTTACCATGTGACTTTGTTGTTTTTGCCCCGCTTGCCTCTGCTTCCGCCTTTTCCTTCGCCTCCAATGTGTTGCAAGGATTGTGTTTAGGCTTTACCCTTTCTGTTTCTTGATGGGAAATGGTGACAAAACAAAAAAGAAAACACAGAGAACTTATATGTGTTTGGGTTCTTCCCTATTTCTTTTGGTTTTCTTTTTTTATCATGCGTTTTTAGATTTTTTTTTTTGCTTCTTTCTGTTGTTTAATTGAATGTGTGTTTAGTTTTTTTATGGTTTCATTAGGATGAT